AGAGAAAATCACCCCTCAGAAGAATCCATTACCACCATAGTAGCCATTTCTTTTCCTTTTTGCTCCAAGTGGGACGCTTCCCGCTACCTCACTTAGATCACATCTCACTTAGGATAACATGATTTACGTTAGCTCTACTGCATCCTCCAAATCAGACGAGACTGGGCGCCTGGGTGGCTCAGATGGTTAAGCATCTGCCTTCGGCTCAGGTCATGATCCCAGGGTCCTGGAATCGAGTCCCGCATCGGGCTCTCTGCTCCTTGGGAGCCTGCTTCTCCCTCTGCCTCTCTCTCTCTCTCTGTCTCTCATGAATAAATAAATAAAATCTTAAAAAAAAAAAAGTCAGACGAGACTGAGTGCTGTTTGTGACACAATAAATTAATTTTGTGTTCTTCTGAAGATATGTGGCCTGCTAAGCATGGCGCAGGGTGCCGCCGTTGGCATGGGCTCTGGGTGGGGGGAGGGGAAGCCATGCTGCATCCCACATTTGGGCATTGGCAGGTTGCATGGTAGCGTGCACAAGGAAACTGAACCGCATCTGCGTGGCTCACTGCTTATCAGGAGCTCACACTGGCTGCCATGCTGTAGGGCAGCAAAGGAAAACAAAACAGCAATAAAGGGAGGCCTTTGTCATGGATTAAAAGGGTTTAGAAACATCTGAGCCATGCAGTTTTCGAACACCAGCACTGCCAATGACTTCATGACAGAATGCTAGAAAATGTGCTAACGGGGTTAGATGGAGTTGGTGGGGCCGCCAACACACATGCTTTGTTAATGGCTCCTTATCTGTGTGAGTGTGTGGATGCACAATTCACGAATGAAGTGACCTTTTACAGTGGGAGAGGAAGAAGGTTAATGACATTACAGCATTGCTGCTGGTGATTGCAGCTAAGGGTGTCCCTAAAGATTGCCATTACTGGGCAAATTCTTCCCTTTTCAAGTGGGTTAGTCTCGTGTATTTTCAACTTGTTTCCTTAGGAAATTCATCGCTGGCACTAATAGAAGGGTCCATCTTAATGCAGAAGCAGAATAGTTGGCTACCTAACTGAGTATTCTTCAGGACTCAGCCATGATCTCCTCCCATGCCCTCAGTTCTGTACCTAGTCATTCATTTCATGGTGTTAATTGCTACCCCCTTCCCCGAATTCTTTCTTTAAAAATATCATTATGTGGTCCCCTTCTTTGATTCGGTTATTCAGTGTGACTCCAAGTGTCTTTGGATGAATTTATTTCAAAAGAGTCAGAAATATCGATATCTGTGTGTCAAGAATTGATAAAATAATTAGACAGAAAAATCAGGAAGGATATTGACTATTTGAATAACACTATCATCCACCTTGATCTAATTGACATTTATGGAAAACTCCCCTCAACAACCGCAGAATAAACATTCTTTTTAAAGCACACATGGAACATTTACCAAAATAGACTGTATTCTGGGCCATAAGTCAAATCTCAATAAATTTAAAAGAATTCAAGTCATACTGTTTGTTTTCTAATTGCAATGGAATTAAATTAGAGATCATTAACAGAAAGATCTCTAGAAAATCCTCAAATATTTAACTTCAATTTAGACATTTAATATTTAAAATTAAGTAATGTATCTCTAAATAATCTAATGAGTCAAAGGAGAAATCAAAAGGGGAAGTAGAAAACATTTTGAACTGAATGAAGCAAATATAGAACATATCAAAATTTGTGAGATGCCACTAAAACAGCATTTAAGCAGACATTTATAGATCCAAATGCCTGCACTAGAGAAAGAAGAAAGGTCTCAAAGAAATGACCTTAGCTTCTATCTTTAAAAACTAAAAAAAAAAAAGAAAAGATGAGTCCATGAAACCCAAAGTAAAAGAAAGGAAATAATACAGATCACAGCAGAAATAAAGAAATAGAAAACAGGGAAAAATTACTTAACCCAAAAGCTAGGTCTTTGAATGATTTTTTTAAAAATTGAGAAAACTCTAACTAGATTTATTGGGGGAAAAAAAGGCTGATGTCACAAATTACCAGTAATAGGAATGAGAGAGTTGACATCAATTCAGAATCTACAGATATTAAAAGAATAAGGAGTGAATATTATGAACTACTTTATGCCAATAAACTTCACAACTTAGATAAAATGGACAGATTTCTTAAAAGACACAAACTATTGAAGCTCACTGAAGAAAAAATAGATAACTTGACTAGCCCTATATCTATTACATAAAGAGAATTTGTAAATAAAAACCATGTTCCAAAGAAAATTTCAGGTCCCTATGATTTTGCTGGTGAATTTACCAAACATTTAAGAAAGAAATAACACCAAACCTAACAAAGTGTTCCAGAAGTTAGGAGAAGAAGTGACTACTTCCCAACTCATTCTATGAGACCAGCATTACCTGATACTAAAATCAGATGGATATATGAGAAAAACCAACCCCAACCACAGATCAATATCACTCATAAACATAGATGCAAATATTATAAACAAAGTTTTAGCAAATTGAACCCACCAATATATAAAAAGCATTAGGATAAAGTGGAGTTTATCCCAGGAAAGCAAGGATACATTAACATTCAAAACTCAGTGTAATTCTCCGTATTAAGAAACTGAAAAAGAAAAAACCAATGTCAATAGACATTGAAAAAACATTTGACCAAATCCAACATTCATTTCTGAGAAAGACTCTCAGCAAACTAGGAATAGAAAGTAACTTTCTCAACTTTTCAAAGGACATCTACCAAAAACTTACAGACAACAGTATACTTACTGGTAAAATACTGAATGCTTTCCCACTAACATTAGGCCCAGCACAAGGATGCTTGCTTTACCACCTCTACTCAACACTATAGAATAGAGTATTTTTCTATTTTATTCAAGGCAATAGGCAAGAAAAGGAATTAAATCATCCTTGTTGGGAAGGAAGAAGTAAAACTATCTTATTCATAGAGACATGATTGTCTAGGGACCTACAGAAAAATGTTATTAGAACTGATAAGTGAATTTAACAAGGTTGAAGGAAACAAGATCAATATACAATATACAGTCAATATACAAAAATCAATTGTGTATCTATATACTAGAAATGAACAATCTGAAGTTGAACTTAAAAACACCACCAACCATTAAAAAGAAAGAAAATCAAATAATACTTAAATAAACACCACCAAAAGAAAATTAAATAATACTTAAGGATAAATCTGACAAAAGATGGAAAATACCTGTACGCTGAAAACTACAAAATGATGTTTAGAGCAATTAAGGAATACCCTGAAGTAGAAGAATAAAACAAATGAATAACAATTACAGTATGCTCCAATTGTTATGAAATTATTTCTGTTTTATCAGTTAACCAATTGTGTGTTACATGCAAGAGAGATGGTAGGAAGGGCACAAAATGTTAGCTCTTTCTGGGTGGTTGGATTTGAGGTCTTTTGTTAATTTTTTTTTATTGTACTTTTCAGTGTTGTTTGCTTTTTAAAAACAAGCATGCATAATCTTTTAAAAGAAGGGTAATTTTGACTCCGTTGGTTAAGCATCTGCTTTCGGCTCAGGTCATGATCCCCGAGTCCTGGGATGAGCTCCACATAGAGCCCCACATCAGGCTTCCTGCTTGGCGGGGAGTCTGCTTCTGCCTCTGCCCCCCAACCTGCTCATGCTCTCTCTCTCTCTCTCAAATAAATGAATAAAATCTATAAAAAAAAAGAATGGTAATTTTTAATTAAAAAATTCTAAAAAAATTAAAGTTAGTGGAATAAATTAAAATAATTATAAACAATGACTCTATATATTTACTTTATATATGGTATATTTGAATTTAAATTATGCAAATACCTTTTTTATTTCTAAGAGATTTATGATGAGATATTATGGGGGTTATTTGCATTGCCTATGGTTAAAACGTAGCCCAATTTCACCTAAAGCTTTATCATTTTCTTTCTGTTACTCTATATTGTCTCTGCTGATTGTGAATCCAGTTGATTTTGAATACATAATTGTGTCTGCAAAGAGACTGAGTCAACTCAATCATTTCAACAAAGAAGGGAAAAATTAGCATTGATCATCAAATATGACAGAAATATAGCCCAATTATAAGATGGCACACTGGGAACTGGGAAGGGGAGTTGGGTTACAGATCTTCAAGTGCTTGCTAGGGTATGTGCATAATCCAGACTGAGAGCACATTGTGACGGTGAACATTGTGAAGTTAAAAAACAAAAGTTAGACAAGCTGATCAAAGATCAATGATTTTCTCTCCAACTGGGATAGGACCCAAGCCCCAGAAAAGTGAAGATTAACTAAATACATGGCAGAAGACCCATAGCTATCTACGATTATCAGGTGGCAATTGGGCAATTGCACACTGATCCAGCTTCTCCCCTTAGTTGAGCTCTTCTCTTTGGTCCTTTGTAAACATTTGGGATCTTAGTTAAATATTTCAGGCCCACTGAAAGTAAATGAATAGGCTAAGAACATCTGGCTTTGAAGTTTTTAAGTGTCAATTGGTATAGATATTTAGTATGACTGTTTCAAAATTAATGGGAATAAGTAGAATAGAAGATGACTCAGTCACTTGGACTTCCTTCAAGAGCTTATATTAGACAAAAGCAGAATGGAAAGCCTGGGTGGTAGTTACCAGTATCACACCTTTGGTGTCAGTAATGTATCACTGCAGTGCTAAAGCCAGCTAATTCATTCATTTCTGTACGTCTCTAGCTATCCATATGTAATGTACATCTACATCTGTATCTATACATCTCTGTATCTATCATCTATCTATCTATCTATCTATCTATCTATCTATCTATCTATCTATCTATCATCTATCTATCCATATAACATTAAAGTCAATTTAGTAGAAAAGATTTGTCTCAGTAGTTGCTTGGTACCATGTGGATAAAACAACTGATTAATTGACTATTTCACTGTTCAGCCAGCATTTGAAGATACAGGAGAGAATTAGGAAAAGAGAAGGACCGACAGGTGGATAGACAGATAGTTAAAATTGTCTACTTACCTCTCTCAAGCAGCCCAAGATGTCTGGATAAATCTAGCAGCTCCATTTGGCTTTGGATAAAATAGCTGGAGCAAAGAAAGTGTTGTGCTGACCCAATCCTGCAAAGATTGTGTGTATAAAACTGGAGGAGAGAAAAAAATATTTAATTACTATGTTTTGTGTAGGTGGGGGTTCTTAGTTGCAAACAACTGAATTCACTGAAATCACTTTAATTCACTGAAGCTACATTAAGAAAACAAGGAATTTATTGAAGGGTTTTGAGTAACTCACAGAAGGTTCATTTGGTCGAAAAAGCCAGATTTTGAGGCTGTCCAGCCATGAGTAATGCCAACCACACTGAAGTAGCTCTTGTGAAATATGCCTACTCACTGTTAAGCAAACATGACTCAGCACTGAGCACTGTTACTCCAAAATAAAAAATATTCCTTGCCCCTGAATCAATATCCTTGCCCAACCACCACTTCATGATCGTTAGTTCTGAACCCAAGTCTGTCATGGCTGTTCTAATTGGCTGAAAGGCAGGTTAATCATTTATATACTAACTACAAGACATTCTGAGAATGTGAATTCTACATAGCTTCCACCTATGTAGAAAATTAACAAAATATGAGAAGGGTGCTCAAAAATGTTGGCAGCCAAAAATGACAAATGTTTACACCACTAATCACATTTTTCCAGGTGACTTCTGTTTCAAGAAGCTATTCAAAGTCATCTCCAGTCATCTATTCTTCTATGGAAGATATCAAATTATTTGGTAATGTCTATGAAGTGGTGGGAAAGTGTTGCTTATCTCATCTACTCTGCTGTTGGATTGGGAAAACACATATGAAGATCTTTCATCAGATCTCTCAAGAGTTTCTAAACAAGGTTGAACACATTTTCAGCAAATATGACAGATGAGTACATAACCAGGTGGTTCAGACCATGGAGAGAATCCAACTCACCTCCCTAGGGTATATACTTTACAGCTCCAGGTTAGAATTACTGTGTTTACTTTGACTTACACCTGAAATACTAAAGTGAGCTGGCTTTGTAAAGATAGGTAAAAGATGCTAATTTGCAAAGCCATTTTCAGTCATGCATACAATCCCCAGATTGAAGGTTTTATTCAGAAACACTTGAAGTTTTCAGTAACTCAGTAAGGTGAATGATAAATTTTCTTTGCCAGTGAGCATCAGTATGAGACCATGTTTTTACAGATCCTGCTCATCTCTTCACCCAGCTGAGGAAAAAATTCAAGAGGCCAGTAAGTTGTCCTTAATTGATTAACGATTGTAACAGCTTTGTTAAGTGTTCCTTTTAAATCTTCATTCATGTCTTGGGTGACAAAGGACTTCCTTGTACATTCAAAAAAGAACAGATTTTGCTTCTGGGACACATTTTTTAATACCTGGAACAAGTAATTTCTCATCTATATTATTTTCCTTATCTATGTTATTATATTGTCCATATGATTTTTCACTAAGTTATCAATATCATCTATTTTCAACTTCTCCTGTTATCATTTTATATAATCATAGTTTGTCAAAACAAAGTTGTTATATTGCTATTAACTGATATCCCAGCTTTATCTGGATTTCATGAGTTTTTCCACTAACACCCTTTTTCTGTTTCAGGATCCCATCTGGGATGTCACATCATATTTATACATCATGTTTCCTCTGATCTGTGACAATCTGTTAGTCTGTCCTTATTTTCATGATCTCGACGGTTACATGTTGTAGAATGTGCATCATTTTGGGTTTGTTTGATATTTTCCTCATGATTAGACCAGAGTTGTGAGTTTTAGAAAGAATGCCACAGGGTGAGATGCCCTTGTCATCACATTATATCAGGAAGCATATGATATCAACATGACTCATCAGTGGTGGGGTTAAAATTGGTTAATTAGTTAAGGTAGTGTTTGTCAGTTTTCTCCATTGTACAGTGACTATTTTCTCCTTTCTTTTTTTTTTTTTTTAAAGATTTTATTTATTTATTTGACAGAGAGAGAGAGACAGCGAGAGAGGGAACACAAGCAGGGGGAGTGCGAGAGGGAGAAGCAGGCTTCCCACCAAGCAGGGAGCCTGATGTGGGGCTCGATCCCAGGACCCTGGGATCATGACCTGAGCCGAAGGCAAACGCTTAACCTACTGAGCCACCCAGGCACCCCTCTATTTTCTCCTTTCCAAATTCTACCCTTTGAAAGCAAGTACTAAGTCCAGCCTACTGCCATCTAGAGAGGATGTATGTATATATGTTATTTGGTAATTATAATTCGGAAATTTCTCTAGGGAAGATTTATCACCTCTCCCCCATTTATTTCTTTATTTATTAGGTTATCCATTTGTATCAATATGTTGTTGCTCAAATTATTCCTGCTTTGGCCTTGGGAGCTTTTTCAGGTTGGCTCCTATCTTCCTTTGACATGGTTCCACCATTTTGTTTTGTTTTGATTTGTTTTTTGGGGCACTCCCTCATTTTTTGGCACTAGACCCTGCTCCAAGCCCACCTTGTATTTTCCTTGACCCAGTCCTAGAATCAGCCATTTAGCTAAGGAGACCTGGTTCCTTTCACTGGAGACTGGTATTTAGAAATTAAGATATGGGGCACCTGGGTGGCTCAGTTGGTTAAGCGACTGCCTTCGGCTCAGGTCATGATCCTGGAGTCCTGGGATCGAGTCCCACGTCGGGCTCCCTGCTCAGCAGGGAGTCTGCTTCTCCCCCTGACCCTCCCCACTCTCATGCTCTCTCTATCTCATTCTCTCTCTCAAATAAATAAATAAATAAAATCTTTTAGAAACTAAGATATGGGTGCTGGGTGTATCAACCAATACATTTTTAAAACACACAGGACAAAGTTACACAAAATAAAATGTTTTCTTAGATTTTTTAAATTACACAAACATCAAGATAGCCAAGTTCAAAGTAATTTTGATTTCATCAGTTTGCATTGAATAACATCTTTTTGGTTGTACTTGGGATAATAATCATTATTTATGTTTTCTGTGATGAATTGTTTTATTACCTAGAGAGCATAGGTTAATAGGACAGAAGGGGGAGAGTATGAGAATCCTGGGCCTCAGTGGGAGAGGAAGTGGAGTAACCAAGGCCCGTGGAGAAAAGGTATTTTCCATGGGGACAGCAGGGTTGACACTTAGAGCCTTCATGCATATTTCCTTTTTTAGATAGGGCTGGCCCTCATCACTGCTGTGGGAATATTTACAGGCAATTCTAGGCTTGCCCAGGGAAACTAATCAATTAAGGTTTTAGTTTTTAGTCTATATTAAATTATCAGTTATTTTTCATCAGGATCAGGTGTGTAAGACAAAGAATCAGTTTAATAGTAAAGAGCAAGTTATCCTCATTTTAGCTCTACTGTGAGTGTGTTCTTTGTCTTGAGCAAGTCTCTGAATCATCCAGCATGTCACAGTAGCATAATGTATCTGTTGGCCTATGACTTGGGAGACCACATTGCTTAGTGTCTAAGGGGACAAAGCAGGCTCTGCAACTTGCTAGGTGTGTGAACTTGGGCAAATTACTTCCCTTAAATCCCCAGATTCCCTACCTGTAAAAAAAGATCATGACAATATTTAACTTATAGAATTGTTTTGGGGATTAACTTAAAGAATGTTTATAAGTGCTTAGTAAAATATCAGGCACATAGTAAATACTCAATAAAACCAACTTTTATAGCTGTAATTATTGTAATTATTAAGGTTAAATGTATTTTTCTTTCTATTTTAGGGGTCTGCATGGTATTATAAGGTGTGTCAGTTTGGTCTCCCGGGTTCCTGCCCTTTGTGCTTCCTAAGCAGATGTTAGAGAGTAGTGCTCACTCCCTCATGGGCAGATGAGGTGGAGACTCTGGACCTTTGGGTGGATTTTCTGATATCCTCTGCCCCTTTTTGTTGAGAGGAGCCACGAGTCCTCTAATAAGTCAAATATCAAACCTGAATTTTAGGCAGAAAATGTCTACTGACCCTTCATGATGAGTTACTTTGTATCCTTCAAAATATCATGTGGCTATACTTAAAAATTCAGTCCATTCTTCCACAGCAATAATGTCCAAAGATGGAGATGGGTGGGAGTTTTCTAGATGATTATTTTGAGCTGCTACAGTTCTAACGTTTATGATAGGTAAGGCTCTAAGGGTTTTCCTCTGTTATAGGATTGTAACTCACTATGGTAATAAACAAAAAGAAGTATCTATTGCTTTTTTTCCCATTGCGTCTAGAATGTTGGTGAGTTATTTTTGTCTCTTTATATGCTGTGGTGTATACAAGTGTAAGCATGGGTGTGTGTGTTTCTGTGTTTCAACATTTTATAGTCCACTCTTAAAACCTTTCCACTTTTTTTTTTTTTGCCTTAGGAAGATTGGCTGATATGGTAGGGGTGACAGGTCTGAGAGATATGCAATGTCCTCAGGTAGGTCTGCTCAGGCCGGCTCTTATCCACACTAAACATGCTTTAAATCCTGAGAGCAAATGAATTCATTGAGCAGCTATCCAATCCACATTCCATCTGAAAGTGTTTTACTTTAAAATGTTAGATTCAAAGAGACAACTGCACTCTGGCCTAGACAATGTCAAATAAATTACATGCTTGAACTTGCCGCTTGTCAACAGCTCATTTTGGTGTTGTACAAGCTCGGCTATGTAGTCTCGAGAGGAAACAAGCACTTCGAATCCATTCTTCACTTCTAGGAGGGCACTGTGGGTGTCCTTTGAGAAAACAAAGAAACACTGTTCCATTCGTTATCTTTCAGATTTTCTCTTTAATCTAGATGTAGGACGCCAGATTCTAGGAGGAAAATGGCTAGTTGCCTTCTAGGTTACTGACTGAAAGAAACATGTCCAAAGTCTACACCAAACTGGCTTAAATAGCCAAAACTAATATATGGTCTTAGAGGTCAGGAGAGTGGTGAGCCTTTGGGGGGCATAGACCAGAGCAGGACAGCAGTGGCCTTCTGTGCTGACACGGTTTGTTTCTGGACGTGTGTGTTCATTGTGTGTACGTGTTCATGTGAAAATTCATCAAGCTGTGGGCTAATTATTAGTGTGCTCTACTGTAGGTAAGTTCCACTTGATGAAAGAATTTACTTTTGTGGCACATCCAGCCAATGGAATATTGTTCAGCACTAAAAAGAAATGACCTGGGGCGCCTGGGTGGCTCAGTTGGTTAAGCGACTGCCTTCGGCTCAGGTCACGATCCCGGAGTCCCTGGATCGAGTCCCGCATCGGGCTCCCTGCTCGGCGGGGAGTCTGCTTCTCCCTCTGACCCTCCTCCCTCTCATGCTCTCTTTATCTCATTCTCTCTCTCGCAATAAATAAAATCTTAAAAAAAAAAATAAATAAAAAGAAATAAAAAGATAT